TCTCTCATTGGTGGTTTGTTAAGCCTACTGTGACTACCTTGCTCTTTGGGCTGGAAATCCGCCAGGTGCTAACACTCAGGTCTCAGACAGCTGCCACTCTTCCTCTGCCGCTGCTTCTTGCCTTCTCATGCCACCTCCATTGTTAGCTCGCTCTGTCTTTCTCTCTCTCTCTGTTTTCTGGGTCTAGGAGATTCTCAACACCGGGACCTGGGGTCCAAAGGACATTCTGTACTCCCAGCTCTTTTTCTTAGTGGTCGTGAGGCCCCACTTGTTTGCCTCTGGGATGACTCATTTTAAGGCTAACAGGATGTCAATTCCCTCTTTAGAGTGTTATACACCTTGTTTGCATGAGCTCTGGTAGTGTAGTGATTACAAATCAGGCTGCTAATATCATGGTCAGCAGTTCAAAACTACCAGCTGTTCCGTGGGTGAAAGATGAGGCTTTCTGTACCATAAAGCTTTACAGCTTCAGAAAACGGGGTCGCTATGACTCAGAACTGACTCCATGGCACATAACAACAACAACAACAACAATCCCCACAAAGGAGTCCTGGTATGACACTGTGGGTTAATGTGCTGGACTGCACCTTCAGTTTGACCCACAAGGTCAGCGATTCAAGCTCACTAGCCACTCCTAGGAAACCCTATACAGAATCACTAGAGTCGGAACCAACTCAACCTCAACGGCACTTACAACAACCCTCACAGAGATTCGATGGCACTTAACAACAACAATTCAATTCCCTTGGTGAGCCACAAGCACCTTATATGCATGGTTGTTACTGTTGGTTTTAAGTGCTGTTCAGTGGATTCTGACTCATAGTAACCCTGTATAGGGTTTCCGAGGAGTGGCTGGTGAGTTTGAACCTCAGACCTTGCAGTTCCAACTGACTTTGTGGTCAAGTGCTTATCCTACTGAGAGTTAACAAAACCATGATGTGAAAGATTTTTTAACAAATGTTTGATTTTGCAATGATCATTTGTACTGTATAAGTCTTCACACTGTTCTTA